CTCAGGAGCTATTTTTGAGGAGACGCGTTGCACAGAAGCTGGAGAATGGGCGCGCAGCCGCAGCTGTTGGAAACTGCGGACTTGAAAATTTAAGGTTTATGAGATAAACGCACTACACATTCACGCCTTACAGGACAATGTTCAGACCCAGGGTGGCAAGGAATCTACTCAACGGAGCCTGTTGGTCCGAACTGATCACTTGAAACTGAATGCACACGCAAACACACACACATGTTCTCGAAATGCTTGGGACGGGTGCGTTCCTTGTGGCAAGGCAAAAGTCTGCAAGTTCTCCTTCGTTACCACGTGACTGTGTGGAGAGGCGTGTGCTTAATTTACAGCGCAGCCCGGGCCTCTTTCTGGGATCGAGGCGCTTGGGACCCCAGGACAAGTCCTCTCCCTCAGCAGCCTGGCTTCCCCTTGACCAGATGAAACACCAACTCTGTCTGCAAAGCTTCAAAAGAGCTCTCCCGACACACAGAGGTGCAAACTGCAGCTTCTTACAAAGGCAAAACTAGCAAAATCCCAATTCTCAGGCTTGACTGGGTTAGGATAAAAACCCAAGTTCTTTAATAATATTTGAGGGCACTTTTCCTTTTATGAAGCGGGATAGATTTTCTTGCTGGGAAGTTGCACAAAAGTTATTTTGACCTGAAAATTTACATGTAAAGCAAAGAAAGGCCGTTCTTTCTGACTGATACATAGCTGACTGAAATGGGCTATTTTAGGAGATTGTGGTGGGTTCAGGCAAACCTCAGGAGAGTCCCCGTTTTCTACCTAAATCGGAAAACGCTTCTCTAACGAGTGATTGTACCAATTACAAAAGATTAAGCTGCCTTAGAAAAAGAAGGATCCCTTAATTCAAGGCCCCGGAGAATAAGCCAGCTTGTGACAGGTGCCCTCCTCTGTGAGGGGCCGGCTCTCCCTTGCCCAGGGGGGATGAGGATTTGGGCTGCATTCAGGCCACCAGCCCCTCAGCCGGAGTGGACGGGACACCCCAATCACAGCCACCTCGCACCTGACGTGAGGTCACTCGCTGGTCATTGCCCATGAGTGGGATGCCCGCCGCGCCCAGATGCGTGATCTCCTCTGGGGCTGGTTCCAAAGGCCTCCAAGTGATAAGGAAGCGTGCTGGCTATTGTGAAATAACCCATCAAAAGAGGCTTGCTGGAAATTCCGCAGGAGTCTGTGCGCTCGTGTGGGGACGAGGGTGTGGGCCGGCCGAGCGCTGAACTCCTGCTCCAAGGTGATCAAAGCCTCCGGGAAACGGATGCAACATTCAAAGAGACTCAGAGAGAGAGAGGAGGGAATGTGTTCTAATCATCTAATCACTTCCCTTGGCATTTTCACCTGACGGCCTCTTCCACAGAAATGGGACTCCCGTGCGAGGAGACGCCGGTCGTGTGCTGGGCACAGGCATCCCACCTCCTTCCACAATGACCGCACACACCCAGCAGCAAGCAGACGTGCTCACACACGACATGTATATTATGTACCGACATGCCAATTTGGGGGGAGAAAAAAGAAAAAAAGTAAAGAAATCATCTTTTTAGGTAATGAAGTACAGATTTAATCCAAATACGTTATGTTTCGTGTATTTAGAAGAAAAAACAACGTTCAGTAAAACACTGGGGCAAAGTTTGGTGGCCATTAAAAAAACGGCCTTTCAAAATGGATTTCCGTTATTCTGAAAGTTAATATACCTAGTTCTTTCAGGTTTGAGGAAATTAAAATTTGCTGGATTATCTGGTAAGACTGATCCCTTGGTAAGTGCTAACATATAAGTCTATCAAGAAATATTTGATTTTCCAATAGGTAAAGCAAACCAAAATATCACATACTCCTACACGCATGTAAGCTAAGCTTTAAGATGCTGGCTCTATGAAATGGCTCTATTCTGTGGAAGAAGAGAAAAAAGGTTTAAATGTGTTTGCATTGGGACCTAATACTGCAAACTACTCACTGTTTTGAAGCAATTTTGAGACAAGCCCACTGACTATTCTGGAACACTCCATGAATGCACTGTAACTAACCCAAAGCCGCAGACCATGAATTATGAGCTCAGGGGGGCTCTGCATCATCAGCCGCCAGGAGCCTGGGAGAGCAAATCTTAGAAGGTGTGCGTTGTCGGGGCTGACGTGGGCCAGGGCTTTACAGAGGGTGGGCTGTGGGGTGGGGCGTCCCCACCCGAGCTCTCTTGCAACGAGTCCACTGCCATGCTGTTTACCCGCGCACTGAAGGACCCTCCTTTGTGGCTCTCTGGGAGGAAGGATTCCAGAGGCCACCAGCGCCTCCTCGGGCCACCAGCCCTGAGCTCCCCCTCCTCACTGCGGACCCAAAGGCTCCTCATGTTCTGATGAGAACAATTAGTTCGTCCATTTAAAGGGTAAGTTCACATTCGGACATAAATAAAACTTATTACCTCACTGCCTACCGTTCCTCATTCCCAGGCAGCTGCTTCTAACCTCCGTACACAACAACCTTCATCTCTTTCGGAGAGTTTATAAAAATGATTGAGCATGAAATAAGGCATGATATTGAATCGCTCCATTTTCCTCGTCACCCGGTGTTGGGAATTAAGAGGAGGTTTATCCAAACTTCACTTGTATTATAGGATTAGCAGAGTGCAGAAGTTCAATGGTTTAGAAAGAAATACGGCGTGAAGGCAACTTTTCCTGAAATTGTTTTTACGTTTGCAATACTTTAAACAACTTCTCAGACAGACTTGAAGCTTGCAAGGGGGTCTCAGTGGTAGCTCTGGAAAAGCCAAGTTTAGTGTGGACGCATTCCCGAGTTAATACCTGCTTCGTTTACAAAGGCAGACATCCTCTATTTGCGGCTACTCGGTGAAGAGCCCTTCACACGTGACTCAGCGAAATCTAGAGGCAACCTCCCTGAGATCCCATCCCTGTTGGCGGAGTCCTGCTCTGCTAGCCACACACCAAAACAACTCAACAGCTCAAGCACTAGCATCTTCTCCCCAGCAGATCGTCCACTTTGGGTCAAACGTCTGCATTTAACCAGAGTGGTTCCCTGAGAGGTATTTCACAGTGATTTCAAAATTAAGCCCATCACAAAATCTTTATAATAATTTCATTTCCAAATTTTCCTAGATCATACTTTCAAAGGGAAAGTTTTTTCTGTGCTTTCCCCCCTTTTTTATTAATCTGGATTGAAGAAAAGCACACATTTCATTTATTGTCTGGATTACAGATTCTTATTAAACAAACCAGAGCTCATTATAAAATCAATATCAACTTAACCACCATGCCCCCAGGAGGAATAGCAAAAAGGTCACTCCAAGAAATTCAAACAATTTTCCTGCTGGAAGGGCATGATTTTAATTACAGATACTATTAATTAGAGCTGTCACCGGGAAGATTTTTTTCTGTTAATTATCACAAACTCAGTTCTAAGTGTGCAATTTCAACCCGTATTTTTGCCAAACTGAGTCATTTCTGCATGCAAGCCCAACCTTTCCATTCTATCAATATTTTATATTTGAATTTCAAAGTGTATCAAAGGATGCTATGCTTTCTAAAAATCCACCCCTGTGTGATCTCCCGTCTCCTGCACACAGAACAGAACTGGTGTGATAATTTATTTATGTCCTGGCACAGACATGGCCCAGAAGCCCCGGCATCCTACACTGATGGTCTTGCTCAACAGAATTTCTGGATAAATTCTTACTAGTTTATGTGACATTTTTTTTCTGGGCTTCTTCTTCAAACGTGATTTTTCTTTTGCTTTGAAGCAGAGCTGTGCACTGGGGCTGAAATGCCACCTCCCACACATTTGAAGGTGCCATTTCTTTATGAGAGAAGATCATACTGACCAGCCTCGTGACCTCCTCCAGAAACCCAGCGCTTTTCTCTCTTCAGTGACAATACCAAGAATTTTTGAATGGGGGGAGAAAGCTATCTCTTGGTCTCTTTTAAGGATAGTGATTTTATAAATTCATCCCAGGTCCTTCTGTGGGCCAGTGTCAGGGTGGCCTATGGAGGAAAAGCAGCTAGCTCAGACAAGTTTCTGGAGGGCACCTCGCAGGACAGTTTGGAGGGACGGTGGTTCTAGAAAGAGCTTGAAACCCCCCACCCCCATATGATTGTGATGACTGAACGTCAACTTACATATTACTGTAAAATATGATGCCTTATTTATAAGAAAGACCTATTACACATCGTAATCATGTGAGTAGAGGAAACAAAGAATCTAGTCCAACGGGAGAAAATATTTCACAGATACATACTGACTGAATTTCTAAAACGATGATTAAGTATTTTACCTTCCCAAATGGGAACGATACTGAGTTGTGCCCTGACTTGTTTATGCCTTGGGCTGGTGTTGCTCATTCTCACTGCAGGACATCACTAAATATAAAGTGCGTGCTACACAACGTCCAAAAATCTTTTACTGTCCCGTTTGGTCTGCATCTGCATCCTCACATTCTCATTGGCTTCTGACTCATCTCCAGGTGTGTCTGGAATGGTTGGGAGTTCCAGCACCCAGCGGCCACCCTCACTCTCATGGAGACGCCCTTGGCTTACTTCCCACTGATCAGCATTAGATTTCACTTTATCCAAATACTAGCAGGGGGTGGCGATGGATCAGGTCAAAGGATCTTTTCATAGAAGACCCGGAGGAAGACGATGATTTAAGAGACATCTTCAAACATCTACACAACCAATTTATCTTGCAACTTTGGCATTTTTCATTAATAGTGGCCAAACTAAGAAAGATAACAGATAATACATAATTCATGTTTTGTTTCAACATTTCTAATGAGCAACCTGCTTTCACAGCTAACTGAGATGAGCCGAGAACAGAGTAAGATTAACACAAAGCAGTAAAACTGTGGTTACAAGGTATTTACGTGAATGCTGATGAGCAGTTTCAAACCGTCTTCCTGAAAGAACCCAAACTGTGACTACATGAAGCGCTGGGAATGGGGAGGGGCCACAGACCGCGCACTGGTGAACAGAACCCAGCAGAGCCCCTACCTGGTAGGCGTTGGTGGCATCCGGGCCGGGGTGCTCCCCCAGTCCCGAGAGCTTCTCCTGCAGCTGGGAGTGCGAGGTGTGGCGCAAACAGTAGATGACACCGGAGGCCAGGAGGACCCCGACCATGGCCACGACAGAGACCAGGGTCAGCACGATGAACGGGGTCGAGTCCTCTTGCTCTGCTCCATGCGGCAGAAGCTTGAGTTTGCTTTTCTGCAGAACAGGAGAGAAGGCATGCATTAGCACCTAACAAATTATGACCTCCTGGAAACCACCCTTTTCCAACGCAAGGTAAACGTGAAGCTCAGCACAGCACCATGTTGGTGTTAAAGCAGCCACGGGGGGGGCGGGCATCCGGAACAGCATCCCGCAAACAAGGAGGGAAGTTATTTCTAACTAGCACATTACACATTGCAACGTTTCAAAAGAAAACTTAGAAGCATTACTTGTTTTCCTGAAGGCCACCGTTTTTCTAACCCTAACAAGGCAAAGTCTTTGGCAGCTGATTTGCAGCTTTAAGGAAAAGCGCAAATCCCTTCTTCAAACAGGTGTGAGGAAAATAGAGCAGTTTATCCTGAAAGCATGCACCACAGTGTTTTTTTGGGGGGGGCGGTGCCGGGAGCACAGAGAGGTCAAACAACTCTACAGCACACAGCACCATCAGGGGCAGGTTCTTAAGTTTCACATCCACGTTCTTGGAGACACTGCTGGAGGGCCGCCTCTGGAGGAACCTTTCCTTGACGTCCCCACCGACCTGAGCCCCTCTGCGCGCGCGCCCGCGGGACACACACTCCAAAGCCGCGCACCTCAGCGCTCTTCCTTGAAAGGAGCTGCAGGGCATTGGAAACATGACGGTCCACGAGTTCACTTCTCCGCGGCGTGGAGAGTAAGGGAGACAAACCATCAGATTCTCATTGTATTTTTTTTGGCGGGGGGGAGATCCTTTGGGTGCATTTCACTAGTCTCCACGTGCAAAAGGTGCATGGTGCTCGCCCGTTAGCTTCGTTAGCAGGTGTATTAGCCACACTTAAAACGCCGCGGGAGGACGCAGAGGGCGCGGGCGCGCGCGGCTCCGGCCAGCACGCCCTCCACCATTACTCGGTAAATGAATGGAGACGCACGCCCGCGCCTCGGTCCCGGTTGCTACAAGATGAGAACAATTAGCAAACTCCTTTCCACCACCTAATTTCGCGTGGTAACAAAATGGATTTTTTTCCCCATGAATGCCTGGCCGGCCTATTCATTATGTGTCTTGTATTAGTAATTTTCTGCTCTGTATCCAGCCTCCCCCCTCCTCATTCCCTCCTGTCTCCGAGTGTACACAGGGCCTCTTATGTCAGGCCGGGCCATTTTTAGCTTGTAATCATAAAGGCCACCAAAGCAATTATCGCCGGTCTTGACTGGAAAAGCTGGTCATTAATTAGCCTCCTTTTGCCTTCGGTGCCGCGGATTAGCTGGTGCCGGGACTGAGTTAATGGAAACGCGGGTTAAATGAGAAAAGACGCTGGATTTTCTTGCCTGGATGCGCGGCTCGGAGGAGGACGGCGAGGCTGGCAAAGGGCGGGAGGCTCACGGAGGGCGGGGAGGGAGGGGAGGGGGCTAGGGAGAGGGGAGGGGCGGAGGGGGTGGGACGACGGGGGGAGGAGGGAGGGACGGAGAGGGAGGACCACGGAGAGGCGGGGGCGCGGGAGGGGCGCGCAGGGCTGCCCGAGGCCTGTGTGGCCGGTCCCGCCGTCGCCCCCGGCGTGGACCCCTCCCCTCCCCCCTCCCGCTCGCCCCTCCCTCCGCGCCGGCACGGCCGCCTCCGGAAGGTTAAAGCGCCGGGAGCCGCGGACCACCCCTCCCCGCCGCCCCCGTTCCCTCCGCACCCCTGTCCCCGCCCCTGGCGGGGTGAGACCCAGAGCCCGGTAAATAAACCGCAGGGACCCCACCCCGCGCAGCGAGGCCCAGCAGGGCGGGAGGGAGCGCGACCGGCCCGGCCCAGCTCCCCGAGCCCGCGCCGCGCGTTGCTTCGCGCCCCTCCGGCAGCGGTGAGCGCCCGAGGGCCAGCGAGGCTCCGGGCCGGGGTCTCAGCCGCTGCCCCGCGTCTGCGTTCCGCGGCCGGGGAGGCCGCCCCTTCGCTCCCCGAAAGAGGCCGAATCGACACCTCCGTGGGGGCCATTTCCAGGAGAACGGTTCGCTCTCCCCCCGGGACAGCCTCGCCTCGGTAGACGGAGCAGGGACAACAAAGGAGGCGGCGCGGCCGAAGGAGGGGCGTCTGCTGTCCCCCCGCCTGGGCCGGGTCCGACTGGCCGTCACTACGCGTCCCTCAACCCCGCCCCAGCGCAAACCACTGGAGGTGCCCGCGTCCTCACTTAGGCCAAGCGCCAGCTCTGGGGATCCCGCCCAGGCGTCGGGAGGACCCCTCGCGCCCACGTGGTTGACGGCGCCCGGGAACAGGGACTTCCCGAACCTTCCTGCCTGGCGACGTGAAGCGCACACGCGTGTGGTGGCCAGCCCGGTTCAGAGAGGACGCGCAGTGCGCACTCGACAGACGGTCGCACGCGCGCCAGGGACCAAGGCCGGGGCTGTGGGTGTCGGGCAGTCGGGGACGCGGGGTCCCGCTGCGCAGGGTGCCCGCGGGCTCACCGTGTAAGGGGCACGGGGTGGCCCGGTTGTCACGCGATTCCAGGTGGGAGGCCACGGAGGCAGGTGGCAGTGCCCACACGTCAACCTGGCCCAGGTCTGGGGCGAAAGAGAGACCCCGGGTTGGACACTCAGCCGGGAGGCCGCGCCGAAGCTCTTCCCAGGGCGGCAGGGTGGCCCAAACGCGGCCGCCAGGGCCGGCTGGGGCACCGACGCTCACCGAGACCCACGATGCGCCCGGCGAACGGGGGTAGAGAAGCAGGGCCTAACCGCTGCCCCTTTCGCAGCCGGCGTGGAACTAACTCAAAGGTCAAAGAAAAACGCCAAGGAGAGTGACTGCCCCCAGAGCTCGGGTCCCTCCTCTCCGGATCCCGCTCTCCCTCTTCCCAGCTGCTCAGCACCACCACCCCCCTCCGGGTCCCAGGTGCTGCTAGAGGAGAAGGGAAGCGGGGAAGGAAAAAGCACGCGACCCCGTGCCCACCGAGTCCCACTTTCTACGATGTCCTCTAGTTCCAAGCTGCGTGGGCCGGAGCTGTCCCGAAGAGGAGGGCCACGGTGGTCTCAGGCCGGAGGGAGGTGTCCAGGCTCCCCCCCTTCCCCCGCAGCCCGTCGGCGGGGAGGCCCTTCCGGCAGCCAGGGGAGGGTCGATGGCTGTGGACAGCCGGCCCGGCCCAGCCCGCACAGCAGGGGCGGTCTGTGACAGGAGCGTGGGCGGGGAATCAGCGGGTCTGAGCCAGAGAGGGAAGGCGGTGGTAGGGCTGACGGACCCACCGGGCTTGTGACGACGAGGTCACAGGATCCTGGGGCCGGGCTCGGAACCCTCTCTCCAGCCCGCCGGGGGCTACTCAGCTGGAACCGGAAAAGTCACTCTTCCTTGCCCATCCCCCTCTGCACCCCCAGTGGTTCCGACCTACCCAGCGAGGAGAGGAAGGGTCCAGCGGGAGGAAAAACTGTTGCTGGTTGCTAGTCAGATCTTAAGAATCCCGGAAGAAACGAAAATTTATAGAAATTTTTCAAAAAAAAAAATTAAAGTGACCTCCCCTCTTTGGCATAGTGATTGAGTTAAAATAACTTTGATTATTTTATTTCCTTTCTTTTTGTGTTATTAAGACAACAAACAAAACTTCTAATTCCTGCTAACCACCAGCTTTAAGAGAAAAGAATTAGCCCGATATCCGCTGGAGAGTGAGTTTGATCCGAGGTTCTGTTCCAGGTGTGACCTGGGTGGGGTGGGCCTCAGCCTCCTCCCCTTCTGGGTCCCTGCTGCCCAAGGCTGAGCAACTTGAGCTACATGTGCTTTCCCCAAATTTTGTCCTGGGGCTGGGCCCTGCAGAGAGCCCTCGACTAATTAGAAGCATCCTGTCAGTCTTGACTTGGAACTGAAAGAAAATAATGCTGAAATATTTATGACTTTGACATTTACAGTCAGGCGTCTTTTAAAAGCGGAACTGTGTGGTGGCTGAGATCACACAAGAGTGCTGGTGTCTGTGCACCAGGATGTAGGAGACACACACACACACACAAGCACCTAATGCTAAGTTCCAGATGCGGGAAAAGTATGATTTTAAAAAATAATCAGGAATAATTAAGTCAATTTTATATCAGGTTAGATGTATCTTGACAGTAAACTGTGGTATAATATTGCATATTTCTTCCACTCAACCATTTCCACCTGCAACTCCTTGAATTTAGAATGTAAAATATTGCAGAAGCTATGATTTAAGATAAATGTGACCACAGAGACAATTTGTGGAATTGCTCTTAGGAATTAGAATCTACAGGCGTTGTCCTGACCTATTTAAACTATTTTGATCTGTGCTTGTAAGTGAAGGTGCATGGGGCTTCCTTTACATTGTCTTCTGAGCCATTTATGGCAAAATATCTTCAAAACTTTTTTCTTTAGCTGTCCATGTGGTAAGCTTAAAAGGAAAGAGAAAAAAGAGAACATTTTATGCCCAAACTTGGTTGTGAGAACTAAGGCAGCACACAAACACAAAACTTCACGGTAACAAATATTTGTGGACCAGTAGCAACAGTGAGTGTTCTTCCAAGCTTGTGAACAGTTAACAATAGCAGCCCCGTGCCTAAGCCACTGACTTCAATTTTAAAATACACTTGTACCCAAAACTTATGGGCATGGGCATTTAATTTCATTACTATGAAACTTCTAACCTGTGCATGTTTTCATTTGTATCATTCCTAAGGACTTGGTTTTGCAAGCCCAGCCTCGTCTTATGTTCCTCTGCACCTTGACATGACTATGACTGCAACCATCCCTTTGCCTGTAAAATGTAGAATTTGATTTTAGAGACTACTAATTAGTTGCTATAACAAATCTGTCTTTGCTTTCCCAGATGAAAAATTTTAGAATTATTTGGAAATTTCATGCTAGATTTACCAAAATGTACTTACTAAAATATAGTAACTATGACTCTAAAGCTGATCAAAAATTTTAATAGTTTTCAGGCCATAGGAATGACCAAACTTAAAAATATAGGGGGAGGGTAGTGTCTTAAAATATTTCAAAAGTATTTTTTAAAGCTGTTAACTGAACTATTTTTAATTTGGAATTTGCCACAGAATTCTCA